CATCGATTTTCTCTACAAAACAAAGCACGACCTGAACAAGAAATTTGATCATGCTTTCTTGCTTTGTGGTAATCTTTATTCTGTACTCACTGAGATATTTGAATGCTAATCAATCAAAAAAACAAGTGTCCCTACAGCATGTAAGAATATAAAGATAATTCTAAAAAATAAAAAGTAAAAATAAAAATATTAAAAAAAATTTAAAATTAAAAAAAATAATAATTAAATTAAGTTAATTAAATTTAAAAAAATTAAAAATTAAATAAAAATAAAAATAAAATAAAGATAATTTATAATTCTGGCAGACTTGGTTCTACCGTTGGTCTTAAGCTGCTGCTTAAATAAATACATTTAACAGGAATCGTCATCATGTTTCCAGCTATCAGGATCCACAGACACACTGTTGGGAATCGCAGCCGGCTGGACTGAACCAGGACTACACTTCCTGTTTTGTGAGGGAGAGCACGGTCATGTTGGCGTTTTTGCTGCAGTGACTCACTTGAAGCAGTAGGGGGAGGTGTTGGGTCTCAGCACGCCCTGACTCTGGCTCTGCTCGGCCTTGTACAGAGGGTTGGTGTACTCGCCTCGGTCCTTCCACAGCTGAGGCCACACCGAGTGAGTGCGCTCATGAAGCCTGCAGACACACATCGCACAGCCTTTACCTCCGTGACACAGATACGAATAAAACCGGATTATAAGCGGCGTGCTCGCCGTCGCCTGCGGACACGAGCTGTTGTAGCGATGAAAACATTGTGGTCTGTGACGAGGAGTGGCAGGTGATGAACGGCGGACTGTTCCTCATTAAAAACATTTAAGCTTTCTGCACTTCCTGTTTCTTACTTCCTTAAATAAAAGCGGGCAGACGTCCCCACAGACAGGACTGTGAGGTCATCAGTCCATGAACACATTCTGTGCAAACTCATCTCATTTACATAAAAGCTACGACTGATTTTCTTCCTTTAACACAGGAGTGGGCGCTCCTCGAGTGTCCTGCAGCTCTCAGATGTGTCTTCATCCAACACGGCTGATTTAAAGGTCGTGAAGTTCTCTAGAGGCCCAGTAATGAACCAATCATGTGACCCAGGGTGAGATCTGCAGGACGCCGGCGCTCGAGGCCTGGAGTTCCCACTCCTGCTTTTAAGAGGACCAGTCGCTGGTTTCTACTTTTTCCTCTTTGGATCCGTCACATAAAC